CGGTCGACTCTGAGGATCCCCACAATCTTGTATCCTAGGTTCAGTTGCTTCTAGAAAGGATTTGACTAGTTCATTAATCAAATCAATGGCAAAGTTGTCGTCTTCTATAGATGCTTGGAATTTAGCCATATCTTCTTTAGGATTGTTTGACAACAGTTCCAGTCTGAAATTTAAATAGATTAATATGACAATGGTTTAGTTTTTGCAGATTTGTCTGTGTTTCAGTTTGACAGAATGTAACATATTTACCACATTAATTCTATATTCAAATTTCTAGACAATTGGGATTGTAAAGAGGATTTCTAACTTGTGTGTACTGAGGCCACTTATGGCTTCTATTTGCATCATTCTAATTCTCTGTCAGATATGTGTAATTATAGAAATGCTTAACAGTATATTAAAAGCTCCTTATAATAACTAAAAGCCTTAGGTGAAAGCTACTTCATAAACTACTCTTGTAGTGGAAGTGAAAGACCTACAGATCTTAGATTAAAAATTTGAATGATGCATCTGATGCTATAAGTTTCCGTGATACACATAAAAAGTTTAGAAAAACACTTTACAATCTCTTTAAGAACAAGCCTTGTTTCACTTAAAGGGACAGATACGCCATATTTTTGACCAATTGTACCTTAGTATCAAAAGGGGAATTTTTTTTTAGCTAAACCAAACATTAAAAGTGTTCACAATTCACCATCGAAATTTGAGCCTTCAAATCTATCTGTGTCTAGAATTATTTGCGTATTTTCGTACATTTGTAGTAGGCCTACTAGACTATTTACATATATTCAAGGCTCATATGATATCAACCCCCAAAAAAGGTATTTCTTCTATAATTGAAATAAGTATACTTTTGATGGATTCAAACACAACCGGAAAATCTATGCCTACCTTCCCTGATCTATAGCACCAATCTCACCAAGACATTGAGCATGCAACATTTGAACTCTAGCATCAGAATCTCTACAACCCAATAACAACTGAAATACAAACCAAGAAACTTCAATTAATAGACTTGAATAATGAGACTCTTTGACTTTTATATGGCCTACTATTGATTGCATTAATAACTTTCTTTTTCACTGCTTGATATTGTATAACTTTGGGATATTTTATATATCATGTTAAGACTATTAAAGAATATGAATATTAGCGAGATGAGATATCAGTGACTGTCTTCTAAACTCTATGGGTATTATCAACACATGCATATTTTACACAATGCCAATTTTCAGTCAGATGTCAGTAATTCTTGCAATGCCAATAAAACAAAAGATTTGAAAGACCTCACTACTGCACCAACTTTAGATATCATAAGCTTTTGCAATAGTACAGTCATAAAATGCTTAGTTATAGTCTAATTGCAGGAACCATTGAAATTGGAACGGTGCAATACTCATGAAAAGTTTAGAAAACCTCATGAAACTAGTAATCAAGTCAGAGTTGTTTTAAGATGTTAGATTACTTACCACAGATATTAATTGTGAGACAATAGGATCAGCTGTTTCACTACCCATAATATATTCATATAGTGTATCCTTAAATATAAAATAATATATATATCTTATACAAATATCTTTTTTTATGTGATTTGAGTCAAAAAAATAAGGTGTATAATTTTAATATAAATCTGCTGACTGCAACATCATTTACCTAAAACTTAGGTTTAATGTCTTCATTAAATAAATTTTAGTTTTATTCAATAGAAATATCAAGACTTCACACATCAGCA